GACAGGACAAGGTTCCAATACTCCTGTACTAAGCAAGGGAATCTGGGTCCTTGGAGGTTAGTGGCAAGACACCAAACCGGGTGGCTCACTGGACAGCCCCTGAATGCTCTGGGCTCTGCACTCACAGGCAAGGAGAAGGCAGTGATAAGATGTAGCTTACTGCCACAGGATGCACAAAAATAAGCATATCTGAAATTGTATCCTCAGTGCTATGGTAGGGTAAGGGGACACACTCTGCAACACCACTAATCTGTAACAACAGGACCCATCGGGGCAGGGTGTGTGGCTGGAGCTGGTCCTGGAAAAAGGACATGATCCACTAAGTAGAGCCAGTCAGCACAGCAGTTCCCGCCTTCCTGTGTCTGGGGATTGAAGAGTGAAGTATCTGCTGCGGTCAGAACACAAGGCATAGGCTAGGGGTGCTGGCAGGAGATGAGTTAGACAGCTGAGGCCAAGCCTGGACAGCAAGGACTGCACGGGCTGTGCTAAGAAGCATGAGGCCAGAAAGAACGGGGGCAGAGCTTCAGAAAGACACTCCCGGGGCCATGTGGGGAATGATGGGAGAGGATGGAGGTTCCAAGCTTCCCACCCTCATACACATCCTCTGTAACCATCCCCTTGAGCACAGGCAGGACTGGGACAGGAAAGGGCATTACCTCAGGATAAGTTTACAAGGCACAAGAGGAAGAACACTTCAGAGGCAATTAAGATGTCAAACCAGTCGAATGAATTCATCAAAAGGGTGATTATCCTGGGTGGGCAAGACTTATAGGGTAAAAGCCCTTAAAAGAGGAACGGGGGCCTTCCTAGAAGGAGAAACAGTTCTGTGGGCTGGAGGAAGCAAGCTGCCAAGTTGAGAGAAGGCCTCAGCTGCCAGCCAGCAAGGAAGTGGAAACCTTGACCTACAGCCCCAAGGAACTAAACTCTGCCAGTAACCAGGCGTGCTTGGAAAACAACCCTGGGCTTCAATATCAATACAGCCCCGCCTGCTCCTAGACTGCAGCCTTGTGAGAGCCTAGGCTGACAACCTGGGAAACCATGCTCAGATCCTGAGCCAAGAGAACACTGAGATAATAAACAGATGTTCTAAGCTCCTACATTTGGGTAAGCTGTGACAGTACAGAAATACAGGGCATCTCAAGGACGTGCATGGCCACTGACCTCCCCTGTCTCCAACTCTATGAGGTCCCAACTACAATGAACACTCGATGGTAGGGAGAGGTCACTCACCTCCAGAAACTCAAACTCATCCCCTTTGGTCAGGCTGAGCTCAATCTCAGCCTTCAGGTTGTTCATCTCACTCTTCTTCTTCAGGAGAACCTGATAAATGGTGTCGAACTTGCTGCTGACCCTCTCCTCCTCCTCCTTTATCTTTTGTGTGGAGCTGGCCTCAGCTGCATCAATAAGAGCCTTCATTTCCTTATACTCTTGTCTCAGCTGCTCCATCTTCCTGTTTGTAGACTCCTAAGAGAGCCAAGGTGAGGATGCAAATGCTAAAGCTGAGCCCTTGTGTCGGTGAGAGGGGAACACCAGAGCCGCCTTGTATTTCACAGAGCCACTCTGGGCATCCATGTGGCAATGCCCTGCCCATTCCAAGGAGCTCACACCCCAAGACCTAGAAACCCCAATCTTAGGAAGATACTCTAGAAAAATCCCTAGGAACCCGACCCAGAAGTACGCACAAGAATGTTCCCAAGTCAGGGATATTAATGCATGACTGTAATCTCAGCACTTGGGAGCCTGAGGCAGGAGGCTCAAGAGTTGAAGACCATCCTTAGCTGTACTGGATGTTTGAAGCCAGCCTGGGCTACATGAGACCTTGTCTTGGGAGGCAGAGGCAGGTGGATCTCTGACTTCGAGGCCAGCCTGGTCTACATAGTGAGTTCCAGGCCAGGGCTACATAGTGAGACCTCATTTCAAAAAAAAATTTTTTTTTTATGAACAAAAGTGTATGCTGGGTAGTGGTAAGACAGCAGGATCTC